TTCGCTGGGCAACAGCGCTGGTGAAGAGCGGCACGCGCACGAAGCAAGAGTGACAAGCCTTACGGCGACAGTCGAGAGGAAACCTCTCGAACAGCATAATACAAAGTAAACCCTTCCAAGCAGCATGACCGAAAGGAAACCTGTGCAAGAGGATATGCTCTTAACAAGGCTGAGGCAAAGAAGTCATTGCACCAACTTTTCCGAGACTTGGACAAGGAGATGACTTCTTGTGCCTACTTTTTTCTATCCCCCAAAAGTCATTACCGGCAAAAGTCACCACCTTCTTCATTTGGACTACGCTCTTAGGACGAACAGCGTCACGACGAATGCGGCATCGCTTTTTTTCGTACCGGCCTGACCGGCCGACCCGAGAGTAATCCTCATCGGCTTTATAGCATGCACCTGCTGGATGCGCGGGGCTCAGGTCCTTAGCGCACGGAATTTCTGGTACAAAACAGCATGACTATACTTGTTTAATAATGAATGTCGGCTGGACTTATTATAATCCACTGTACTTCCAGTTGTTAAACGCACCCCGTCCCGGTGCGACGCCACGTAGCAAATGACAGCGGCACCGTTCGAATAGCAAAAAGCGTAAGTCGCCTCCAACGCATTGACTGGCCATGTCAAGTTCACAGATGAGATCTATCGTCACCGATTTGACACGCAAGCGAAAAGAGCCAACACTTGTTCCACCGGCCGCAAACCGCAACCAGCAGCATGACACCCGGAAAACACCTGGAACACCCGATTTTTGCGGTTGTACGATACTGAATAGAGTTTGCAAAGGAGACTGTGTCCACCATACAGTATGCCACGACAGTGTCGTTGCTGTCAATGATGTGTCCTAATTGGTGACATAGCGTACAAGTTATTGTACAAAATGTCTTACCATACAAAATATGATCTGGACCCAATCCTGCATAAGTCGATACATCACCTTTTACAGGAAAGATAAATCAATGGTGCCAGGAAACTCTCTGAAGACAGACTCATAAAATTCAATCACATCTCTTTTTTCTTCCTTCTACTCAAGCTCCTCCACCTTCCTCGCCTCACCTTCAATAGGTTATGAGCTCAACGCAAGCCTCCACCGCTGACGACCGCGAGTTTCCGCGCCTCAATGGCCGGAACTTCATCATCTGGATGACCCGCGTCACTGCCGCCCTCGAAGGAAAGAACCTTCTCGGCTACGTCGAGCGTATCGACTACACCGGTGACTCCGACTACGAGTTCGACTCCGATGAAGAGCTCAACCCGGCACTGTCCGACATGAACGACATGTCCGCCGCGCTTGATGCTGCCGGTGCTCCCAAGGCCGACGAAATAGTAGGCTCCTCACCGAGCGAGTCCTCCTCTGATGCCAGCTCCGCAAGTTCGGATGCACCCACAGCCGGAGACGACGGCGATGTGGAAATGGGGCAGGAGAATCCCCCCGTTATCCAGTCATTCACTGCTCAGAAGCGGGATGAACTGAAGCGAGCAGAGAAGCTGAAGGCTAAAAGCCAGAGGCTGAGCTCGAAAAAGCTTCGACTCAACGAGGCAAAAGCAAAAGCTTTCCTTATCAAGACCATCGATGACCAACATGTTCTCATGGTCAAGGACAAGACTACTGCGTTTGAGATCTTCCAGACGATCTGTAGCAAGTACGAAGGTGCTGCCATTCACGGCGACCCGTATCATGTGCTATCATACCTGATGGCACTGAGGTATGAAGAAGGTTCAGACCTTACGGGGTTCATAATTGACATCGAATCTGCCATGAAGGTTGCCTCCGAAGCCACAAACAGTGTGCTCAGTGACGAACAGAAGTCACTCTACTTGTACCATGCGCTACCTGGAAAATGGAAGCAGCAACTATCGGTCTGGAAGGGTAGCAGGAAATTCATTCCCTGCGAAGAGCTAAAGCGTCACATCGAGGCCAAGGTGCAGCATGAACTGGCGAAAAACCGCTACACGCTCAAACAAGAAACACCCGAATCGTGGGAAACTCGAAACGAGCAGGCCCTACAGGCTTTAGCACCTGAACCAACCTTGGTTCAAGCTCCCTATCAAGAGAGCAAGGCTCTCATCTCAACGATGAGCTGTACATACTGCCTGCGCACCAATTACGATACTGTCGACTGCTATGTTCTACAGCGCCACCTACAAAATGGTCAGGTAAAGGCAGGAACGGTGCTTCCCGCCAACTTTAAGCTGAAACCTTCGTCCAATCAAGCTCGACAGCATCCTTACAAGGACGGTTTTGGCGGCAAGTCACGAAGCCAAAATCGGAATGACTACAAGAGCAAGCGGAACAGCAATCGAAACAGAAGCCAGAACGGCAACCAGAAGAATACATCTGGAAAATCCAAGAGTCACAATAAATTCCACGGTCGCCGCAAGGACACCGACTCCGACAACGAGTATGGAATCATAGCCATCACCACTCTGGACCTCAGACAAGAAACAGAGGCTGTAAGTCTCACCGCCCAAGATGCGGAGCATGACCCAGTGTGGACTGTCGACTCAGGCTGCACTCGCCACGTTACGTCCAATCCGAAGTGGTTTGAGAAGCTGATCCCAAGTGCTGGCAAGTCAATCACTGTCGGCGGCAATCACCAGATTCCGATAAAAGGAACTGGTGATGTCAAGATGACAATCAAGGACACGAAGGGAAAGGAACGAGAAATATCCTTGGCCAACGTGCTATATGCGCCCCAGCTGAAGTTCAACCTACTCTTCGTGCGCCAAGCCGTCGAAGATGATTTCAAAATCAACTTCCCCAACGCCAAGAAGTGCGTTCTGTTCTTCGCTAGCCGAACCAAATTTGAAGCCAAAATTGGTGAAGGGACTCGACTCTACCAGTTTCAAGCGATCCCGGCAACCTCAAGTCAGGTAGCCCATGTGGCCACTTCAGGTAAGCCTGATAATGTGTTACTTTGGCATAAACGAATGGGTCATCCTAACTTTCGCATTATGCAGGATCTGGCTAAAGCCAACACTGTCATGGACATGGGCCTGAAGGACTTTGATTCCAAGAAAGACTACTTTTGCTCTTCCTGCACATACGCCAAGGCCCATCGTAACCCATTCAATAAACGTACCGTTGAACGGGCAAAGTTCCCTCTTGAAAAAGTTCATTCTGATATGGCTGGTCCATTACCCGTCCCCACACTCTCGGGGTGTCAATATTTTCTGACCTTTATAGATGACTACTCACGGTACATGTTCATCTACATCATCAAGCGAAAGTCTGAGCTGTACGAATGCTATGAAGATTTTCGCAAGAAAGCACAAAACGTTTTTCGCGCTGATGTAGGCGAACTCCAGTTCAATGAGAACATACACGATGAAGAAGTTAGACATCTTCAAAGCGACAATGCCCGAGAATATGAGAAACTTGGAAAAATTATTTTTCAGAAGTACAATACGCACGCACTATTTACAAATGCGTACACGCCCCAGCAAAATGGAGTTGCAGAGAGGCGCATGCGTACACTACTCGAACGAACCAGGGCTTTCCTCATTGATGGTAACCTACCGCAGGTTCTTTGGGGAGAATGCGTCAAACACGTTGCTGACCTTCTGAACATTACTCCCAGCTCGGTAACCGATAAGGTCACCCCATACGAGAAATGGTTCAAGCGAAAACCATCCGCGCACTACATCAAAGTGTTTGGGTGTACTGCGTACGCTCACATCCCTGAGATACACCGCACAAAACTAGAACCACGTGCTAAGAAGTGCATGTACTTAGGACTCCCATCAAACAAAAAGGGATATAGACTCCTTGACACGAAAGAAAACCGTGTTATCTACAGCAGGGATGTTGTGTTTAGAGAAGACGAGTTCCCACACTTGGAATTCCTCAATACACCAGCAATCTCGGTCCAAAATGGCCCCGCACCGACGCTATCACCGTCGCTACCAACACCACAATTGCTACCTCCAATAGCCTCACTACTAAAACGCAGCGTCAATGCGCTTGCCGCGGAAGTAGTAGTAAAGATGAAGAAAGTCAAACACAAAACGAACGCTCAGAACGAGGATGAACACTCGTGTCTACTTGATGATCCACTCGACATTAACGAACGAAAAGAGCACCTCACTCATATCTACGCTCTATTGGCTATCAGACACATATCTGAACCAAAGACGTTCCTAGAATCCCAGAAACTACCAGAAGCACAACCATGGGAGAAGGCAGCCATTTGTGAATACAAATCATTGATTGACAACAAAACGTGGGTCCTCACAAAACTACCGATAGGGAGAAGGGCCCTACAGTGTCGATGGGTATTCGTTGTAAAATACAATGGAGACGGCAGTATTGAGCGCTATAAAGCCCGCCTGGTAATAAAAGGTTTTTTGCAAAAGTATGGCGTTGACTACGATGAGATATTCTCTCCAGTGATCCGCATGGAAGTGCTGCGACTTTTACTGACGATTGCAGCACTCCTTGACCTTGAGATCCATCAAATGGATGTTAAAACCGCTTTCCTGAACGGATACCTCGATGAGGAAATTTACATGCTGCAACCTGAAGGGTTTACTGTTCGTGGAAAAGAGCACTTAGTCTGCAAGCTTTTGAAGAGCCTATATGGTCTCAAGCAGGCACCTCGGATCTGGTATCTTACCTGTGCTCTTTTCTTCTCACCATGAAATTCCACAAACTCATCAAAGACCAATGCGTTTTCATTGGAGTTGTGGATGGAGCTACATGCTACATTCTAGTCTATGTGGACGACCTCCTCATCATAGCCACTACGCTTGATATCATTAACAACATAAAGAACGCTCTCAAGCAGCGCTTCAAAATGTCTGATCTCGGTGAAGCTCAATACATCTTAGGCTGGTCAATCATACGCAACCGTACGGACCGAACCATTTTCATCCACCAAGAGAAGTACGCTACCAAAGTCCTGGATCGCTTCTCTCATCTTGATGCACACCCGGTTGGTACACCCGCTGATCCCAGTGTGAAGCTGACGGAGGCCATGTGCCCCCAAACGCCAGAAGAAAAACATGAGATGAAAGCGATCCCGTACAGAGAGGCAGTTGGTAGCTTCATGTACTTAATGATGGGAACTAGACCTGATCTCGCATATTTTCTACGAGAAGTCAGTCAATTCCTGGTGAACCCAGGAAAACCTCACTGGAATGCTGTTAAGAGAGGATTGAAGTACTTAAACGGTACGCGCAATCTTGGCATCACCCTTGGTGGAAAGCAAAATCTAGAGCAGTATAAGTCAAAGCATTATCTCACTGCATACTCCGACGCAGACTACGCCAATTGCCCAGACACACGACGATCTGTGGGAGGCTATATCGCATATATGTGTGGAAGCCCAATTTCATGGCAATCGAGAAAGCACCACACCGTAGTTCTGTCCACAACAGAGGCAGAATACATAGCCCTATGTCACTGCATGCAAGAAGTTATTTTCTTAAAGCTTCTTTTAGTAGAGCTTAAACACGAAAGCTCACATGCTATTACCCTATTTGAGGACAATCAAAGTTGTATTAAACTTTCCTACAACCCAGAACTGCATGGCAGAAGCAAGCACATTGACATTCGGTATCACTTTGTACAAGAAAAAGTAGAGCGAAAAGAATTTGAAATTATGTACTGCAACACCAAAGAAATGGTAGCAGACATTTTTACAAAAGCACTATCAAAACCCCTTTTTATAAATCTAAGAGGGTCACTATGTAAGACACATATACAAAAATAAGAAAAAGAAAAAAAGGAAAAGAAAAATACTAATCGATATGTAAAATTTATACAGCACCAAGTTTTGTTAAAAGTAAATACGTATTATTTAAATCTTAAAGATTAGCAGGAGGAATGTCCTCAATTGAGTACACACCATCTACTGTCTCAAAGAAACTTGTCAAAAGCTCCTCCCGGTTAGGGAAGAAGTGATAGGTGTCGGAATCGATGAACACAAACTTGTTACCAACCCAGGCACGAGCGATACAATGCCATGTACCTGCTCGTTGCCCAGGCCGCCTACCTATAACCAGCAGAGCATTTTCGACTCAGCACGATGGAGGCAGGTCGCTTGGATCTGCTCTTGAGCCCCGACTTTGTGTTCAGGTAAATCAGCTGTTTCCGCCGCTTCTGCAAGCCCTTCTGCAACGCATCCATAGTGTAGGCACCGTAGCGTGGATGTCCATAATCCACACTTGGGCTCACCTCTACCAACCGAGCCAAAATAGGCCGCAACATGGCTGGGGTGATAAAATCCCTAGTTTGAAGAGCGTTGCTGATCGATAAGAGACCGCACATTGAGTACCGGTCCGACAGCATCTCTTGATGTTGGCACAAAACTGATGTGCGAAGACTGACAGGCATCTCTGTATACAAACGATAGTATATTAGTACTGTGCAAATCACATGAACCATAGCAGCAAAATATTGATTGCAGTAAATCAATATGACAAAACCCAAGGTTATTGAGACCAGTGGAGACGATTCGCTACCGAGTGAAACAAGTTCACTCAGAGCTAGCCCAGACTATAGCGTCAGGCGCGCATCGCACTAAGTCTCGCTCCCTTGAGGATTGCACCTTCAATACTTGCATGCAAATCAGAAGAAAACTGCACCTGTGCAAAAGTTGAAAGATCAGGAAATGAACACCTAATGCACTCAACGAGAACGATACGGAAGAGAAAGCAAGCGTATTTCACTGATACTTGAACTGCACGACGGTAAAGAACTTTGCGACCTTCGGAAAGGTATAGACATACTTTCTAGCAGCTCACTACCGCAAGAAACAGTCGATTATCCTCGAAGTAGTAATTTAAGTCAAAGTCCTCAACGTCTTGAATGCAAATCAGCTGCAATATCTGGGATAAGAACTGCCCCCAACTTGGGACACAGAGAGGCTGTCAATGATGTGTCCTAATTGGTGACATAGCGTACAAGTTATTGTACAAAATGTCTTACAATACAACATATGTTCTGGACCCAGTCCTGCATAAGTCGATACATCACCTTTTACAGGAAAGATAAATCAATGGTGCCAGGAAACTCTCTGAAGACAGACTCATAAAATTCAATCACATCTCTTTTTTCTTCCTTCTTCCTCCACCTTCCTCGCCTCACCTTCAATAGTTGCAGCAACACTAGGGCCGCGGAGTCGTGGAAGCGTACACACGGCCATGACTCCTTGATGATCGCAGTGTCTAAAGCGATTAAGTGGCTTTGGCTCATTAATCAATTCGCCTCCTCTCGGGCAACAACTTGGCTAAACCCTTCACACCAATCCACGATGGTTAAGTCTTTCTCGCCGTTCGTGACGTCTGCGGCTCTCCTCCTGGCGGTTGCCACCTCGGCTTCCTTGCCGAACGGGTCGTGGCCAGCCAGCAAGGGCACCGTGCAGTACTCAAAGGCCTACGTCGTCAAGGCTGGCGAGGTCTTCGACGGCAAGATGAAGACGTTCGAGCGCTCCGACGTGTCGTGCGAGGGCCAATCCGAAAGCGGGGCGGACACGGCCGTGTTCAACGTCGAGGCCGGCGGCCACCTCAAGAATGTCATCATCGGCAAGAACCAAATGGAGGGCGTGCACTGCGACAAGCACGACTGCATAATCGAGAACGTGTGGTGGGATGACGTGTGCGAGGACGCCCTCAGTGTCAAGAGCGGAACGGCGTCCAGCGTGACCAAGGTCATCGGTGGCGGGGCCCGGTACGCCGACGACAAGGTCATCCAGCACAACGGCTTCGGTACGGTCGACATCGACGGCTTCTACGGCGAGGACATCAGCAAGCTCTACCGTTCGTGCGGCACTTGTGGCAACAGACCCAAGAAGGTGTCCGCGTCCAACACGTACGTCCTCAACCCGACCAACGCCATCGTGACGGTCAACAAGAACTGGGGCGACCAGGCCACACTCCGCAACGTCTGGGTCAAGTCGAGCAAGCCCACCGTCAAGGTGTGCCAGTGGTCGCAGGGTAACGCCAACGGTGAGCCCAAGATGCTGGGCCACGGTCCGTCCAACCCTCTGTGCAAGTACTCGGAGAGCGACGTGCACATCAACGAGGACATTTCCGAGGCAGCCACGACTCCTTCGTCGCAAGAGGAGCAGACCGATGACGGTGACTCAGTCACGCAGACGGAAGCCACGCCGACGCCCACCATGAAGCCTTCCAAGAAGTCGAAGACCCCCCTGACCACGGCCCCCACCGCTGAGGAGAACGTTGAGGATGTCGAGCAGACCATCCAGCAGACCGTCAAGAACACGACGGCTTCCGTCCCGGACGGCACGTGGCCGGCCAGCACGGGCATCGTCCGCTACAAGAAGCCGTACACGATCAAGGCCGGCGAGGTGTTCGATGGCAAGATGCAGATCTTCGAGCGCTCGGACATCACGTGCTCGGGTGGTGAGGGCCAGAAGGACACGGCCGTCTTCCTCGTGGAGGCTGGCGGCACTCTGAAGAACGCCATCATCGGCAAGAACCAGAAGGAGGGCGTGCACTGCGACTACCACGACTGCACCATTGAGAACGTGTGGTGGGATGACGTGTGCGAGGACGCGCTGAGCATCAAGGGTGGCTCGGCGTCCAGCGTGACGACCGTGACCAACTGCGGCGCCCGCTACGCCGAGGACAAGGTGGTACAGCACAACGGCTACGGCACCGTCAAGATCAAGGGTTTCTTCGCGCAGGAGTTCGACAAGCTCTACCGTTCGTGCGGCACGTGCGGCAACATTCCCCGTAAGGTGACGGTGGAGAACGTGTACGCCATCGACCCGCTCGTGAGCGTCGTCACTGTCAACAAGAACAACAACGACCAGGCCACGCTCAAGAACATCTTCGTCAAGACGACGGACGGCAAGAAGAACGTCAAAGTGTGTCAGTGGTCGCAGGCCAGCAAGACGCCGTCGAACGTGGGCGACGGTCCGTCGGGCAAGCTTTGCCAGTACTCGACGAGTGATGTGCACATCAACGAGGATTGAACTCGTTGATATCTCACACAACAGAAGTGTATGGCCGATAGAAGTGAAGTAGTGAAGTGTAGTAGTATTTTGTAGTAGCGTACGTGCGAGCTGCGTTAAAGCTAATTGATGGTGTATTTGATAGAGAACATTCAACTAAACTCCTTAACATCTTACACTATGAATGTGAAGGATGATTAGATCGATACAAGCCAAGTGTACTACTTCTGAAGTAGCATTTTATTCCAATTAATCGCTGTCGGAAGCGAGCTTTTGTATCAGTATCATTGTCAATGATTCATTGGACAACAGAAAATGTTGACCGAAACTTACATGGCAGACATCTTCTCGTGGAGGAACATTGAATTCTGCAGAGCACGGTCGCATAATTCTCTTCAAAAAGCTTCAAAAGAGATGGGCAACTCGCTCTGCATGTTTGCTTGAAGATGGCAAGCTCGGTGCCAAAACTCGACTGTGTCGACGGTCAAGCTGTGACATTAGAGCCTTTAAGCTACATGTCATGATGATACCCCCTCCTGACTCCAGCATCTACTTACACAATCTTTTTTTCCAAGCCTTCACTCCCCGTTTCGCTCTACTGTTCAACCAGACGTAGATCGTGTTCATGATGTGCTTGAAGTTGCATTCATAGTTGAGGTTTAGCTACAGGGCAGATGCTTTCCTTCTCTTTGCTTAAACACTCAATTCATTCTCATTTTTTTCCTGCTACAACTCAACTCAAGTTCCTACAACTACAACTCAAGCGGAAACAAGTGCGTCTCCACAACTTCGTGACAGTTTTAAATCTATTGAAGCGATTCTAGGCGACTTCGAAAGCATGGTTATGCGCAATCGGAGCCCCAATCCAAGACCCCGGCAACAACGTCGTCGGATGCGAGATGAGAACGCAACGGCCACCGCAAGTGCACCGACCGAAGCGGCTCCATCTCAAGATGCCAACTCAACTGGGACGCAAGCGGCACCAGCTACTCAACAAGCAACCCGTTCGCCGGATGGCGTTGCCATGCTGCAGCAAATGTTCCAGGCCTTCTTGACGAGCACGCAACAGCAACAGCAGTTTCTGAGCCAAGTTATCGCGCAGCAAACGCAGACGCAGCAGCAAATGCTACAGCAGCAAGTGCTAATGCAGCGTTCGCAGAAGAAGAAGGGCAATCCTCCATCATTCAACGGGCAGACAACTGATGACCTAGAATTATGGATCTTCAGTACTGAGCAGTACTATGCCGATTGCCAATCGGACATGGAGGGCAACACGTCCGTGTTCGTGGACATGATATTTGCCAACCTTGGTCCCACGGCTAAAACCTGGTTCCGCGACTTTAAGATGTCACTCGGAAACCAGCCAGCAACATGGGCCATTTTTAAGGCCAATATTCTTGAGAGGTTTCGCGACAGCGACTTCGAGCACAAGGTGCTGTCAAAGTTGCACCAGCTTCGACGCACAGGGTCCCAGCAAGAGTACACGTCGCGATTCCTACACTTACCCTCGCAGTTAGACCAAGACGTTCGTCAAACGTTGGTACTACCAACAGCACTTACCAGAAGACGTCAGCAGCTTCATCTTTCAACATGTGCCGAAGACGCTGCAGGACGTTATCGAACTCGCTCACCGCTACGCTGACTCCCGCCCGGCCAAAACCGCAACGGCAGGCCTCAACAACCGAAAGAACGAGGCCAAAACAGCAAGTGCCACTGGTGGCCAAGGAAACAACACGAAGCCGCCTGCTACCGCAAGTTCCTCTGGAGAAACAAAGCAGGCGTCCACAAACGCCGCCGGCCGAGTGTGTGAGTATTGCGCCAAGCCTGGTCACACACGCGCCGTCTGCCGCAAGCTCAAGACGAACCAGCGGGCCAATCAACAAAAAACCTAGACGGCTCGGTGGGGTGGCAACCCACTGAGCCTACAACGGTAGTCAAAGATGGCAGTACTTTGGCTACGGTGGCCCCGTCGAAGCGACTTTGTTATCACTCAGATGATGGCAAGTCGCGTTCGACAAATCTATACTGCTACTTGCCTCAATTGGGGCGCATTCTAAACGCTTCGGTTGAGATGTTCATCGACAACGGTGCTTCGTTCAATGCGATAGCACCGCAAGTGGCACATCGCTTGGGCTTAAGGTGACTTCACACAAAAAGCCTCTCCGTATAACTATCGGCAACAACCAGCGGATCGCGATTCCTCGGAAAACTGTAAATTTTACGTTGTAAATGGATGGATTTGCTCCTGTACACAACGGACGCTTTCGCGATGGAGATTCCGGAAGGTAAACACGTCCTACAAGGTATGCCATGGCTTGTAGAAGTTAATCCCGACATTGATTGGAAGTCGCGGGCGGTCAGTTGTCGTGGAACTACAGCGGCACTCTCGTTCACGCAGTGCGTGCGAGCCACCCCAGCTTGCCATATTGGTGGCAGGCGACGTGGAATGGGACATCGATCGGTTGGACGATCTAATCACGAGGACACGCTACGTTACTACGTAGCTCACGCTTATGAGGCAAAGCATGGCGAGACAAAGGTGATCAGTGCTAAGCAATTCCGGAAGATGAAGAGCGCTGAGGGTGATTTCTGCTTTATGGCTCAGCTGGAGCAGCCGTCCGATAAAGCTAAACGACAGGCTTCCAGTGACTGGGACAATTTTAAAGGGCACGTCGCGGAGTCTGTACTACTCTAGTACAAGGATAAAGTGTTTCGCTGTCAGCTCCCAAGTGTTCCCCCACTCGCTCAACGGATATCGAGGCCGAGATCGAACTGGTGGACGACAACCCCATCGCTCGTAAACAATTCCGACCTAGTAACGACATGAAGGCAGCCATACGTGAATGGACTGATGAAATGCTCAAGGCTGGTATCATTCGCCCTTCAACGTCGGCGTTCTCATCCCCGACGTTTTGCGTGCGCAAGGCCGTTGGCTGGAGAATTGTGCATGATTTTCGTGCGATTAATGCTAGGCTGCGCATTCCAGCGATTCCTGTGCCACGAAAGGAGGATATTTACGACGCGATGGCGGGCTCACACTGGTTCTCGGCAATGGATTTGCTATGGGGATTTTTTCAAGTCAGACTTCGGGAAAAGGACATCCCATACACGGCATTTTCGACGCCTGATGGACTGTTTGAGTACTTAGTGACACCGATGGGGCTGGCGAGCAGCCCAGCTGCGTTCAACCGGCTCATGCAGACTATCTTCAGCGACCAGTCCAAGTTCTGCCGTGCCTATTTTGATGACTTGTTCGTTTTTACGAAGAACGTCGACATCGCCGAGCACCTGGATGCACTGGATAGGGTGCTAGAACGCTGCGTCGAGGAGGAACTTTACGTGAAGCTGGCCAAGTGTACGTTTTGCTCTGCGGAGATCCCCTGCTTGAGTGATTTTTCGGGCGTAACGGTGTTCGAATGGACCCTGACAAAGTTCGCATCATTCGCGAATGACCTGTTCCTAGACGAAGAAGCAGGTTCAGTCCTTCCTTGGTACATGTGTGTACGTCTCGAAGTTCTGCAAGAATTTCGCAGAATTGGCAGCTCCACTCACTGACGCAACCCGAGGTAAATCTGCCCACGAGAAGGTTACTTTCTCTCCAGACCAGCTCGAGTGCTTCCACAAGCTGAAATCCGTTTTGCCTTCACCACCAGTACTAGCACATCCCGAGTTTTCTCGCGACTTTTACGCGCGTATGGACGCCAGTGACTTTGCGGTAGGTGGCTATCTGTTTCAAGTCGACAGTGAGGGCAACGAACACATTATCGCATTTGGTGGACAAAAATGACGTCGGCAGAACTGATGTATCCCACCCGAGAAAAGGAGCTCTTGGCTGCACTACATGCCATGAGGACTTGGCGGGTTTATCTCCTGGACCGACCATTTTACATCAATACGGACCACAAAACATTGCAGAGTATCCTGGAGCATAAAACGTGTTCTCAAAGGCTCGCACGTTGGCTGAACGAGCTCGGCCTATTTTTTGCTGGATCCCTGGAGATACAAATGTGATCGCTGACATGGTTTCTCGTAATCCATCCTTCCATCCCGCAGAGTCAGCTCACTTCGTGTGAGCAGATTTACTGAGGCAGCTGACAGCTACTCAAGCAAATCTCGATAGCGAGGAGGTCCAGCTTCGATACATGCGGGGTCGGCCTACTATTCTTCAGCAATGTGTCAATTTGTACAGCGAAGATGAAGTATTTGGCGACCTGTACAAGTTTCTCAACTGCAGCACGAACCCAATGGAGTCACCGCCAGTCCAGCTGAATCGAACTCTTCGAGCCAACATCCGACACTTTTTCGTTGAAGAAAAAGTCCTGTATTTCCAGCCCGATCCTGCCTCCGCGCGGCGAGTATGTGTACCGAGCGATACTGACCTGAGAAACAGTATTCTATTTGAGAAGCACAACGCGGCTACTAGTGGACACCCTGGCTGTTTAAAGACTTTGTTAGCTGTCCAAGAGCAGTTCTATTGGCCACACATGGAGCGGACTGTCAAACGCTACGTTCGTTCTTGTGAAATGTGCCAGCGAGTAAAAGCTTCTCATCGCAGGCCAGCGGGATTGCTCCATCCGCTGAAAATTCCTCGCAATCGGTGGTCAGAGATTTCTATGGATTTTGTTACCGGCCTTCCTAAAGCCCGTCGTTCGAAGTGTGATGCTGTCATGGTCATCGTAGACCGACTCACGAAGCGAGCCCACTTCATTCCTACTACTACTACCTGTACGGTCCAGCAAGCAGCTTAGCTTTTTCGTGACAACTACCAGAAACACCACGGATTACCGGTCAGCATTGTCTCCGACCGTGATACAAAGTTCACGT